CCCTCCCGGTCCGTCCACGTGCGTCCACGCATACAAAAACACACGCCATCGTTATCACCGCCATCATCATCATCATCATCATCATCGTCATCGGCGATCGAGCATGATTCGTTCACCTTGCACACCTTAGTCTTGCTTGGCCGCACGCCTGTACATACCCTCCACGATGTGCACTCTAAACCGTTAACTCGCAATTATGTCAGCGCCGATTTCCGCATCGTAAACAACATTGTACAACAGCCGGGCAGCCTTACCTACACGCGCGACTCGTTTCTTCAATCCGCTACGGGCGCCGTATACATTACATGCACGAGTGCAGTTTCGGACGTTCGGCAGATCTTTTTTTTTTTTTTTGACCGCGAGCAGAGCCGCATCGGTGGCAGTGAAAGCGCTAGAAAGTACATTATACGGTGCTCATATATGTCTCTTAAAAAAAATATGTATATAATTTGGAAAATACGTAGAAATTGATGGAGGGTCTATGGTATAACGCTACAATTACGTATTGTAATCACAATCACGTATTATAATTTCACTTACGAATGGTTTCAGCGTGTAACGGTTTGAGAAACGAGACGCTTATACATCTCATATTGTGTGACTTGTTCGAGGAAGCTTTCTCCATTTTTATGTACATGACACTTTTGCGATTACATGAGCGAGTAAACGTGCGACAATCAATCGTCGATGGACGATTTGTTTTTCTCTTTTTTTTTTCTCTCGTCACGCAAGACATCGCAGAGCTGTCGCGCGAGTTTAGTCGCCGATGTGAGAGCGATTGCATGTAATTTGAACGCATCTGATACGCACCCGCTTGCACTGACTCGCGATTGTATTATACGTAAAGGTTCCGTTCTTTTCAGTCGCGTTCTCGAAATAATCTCTCGTTTTCGAAAACGAGACCAGGTGTGTCGTATGTCTTTTGAATATGAAACCTGCGACCGAAATGAATGGACCATGTATAGTTGATAATCATCCACGCGAACTCGCGGCGAATGACCGATTGCTCTTTGCGCAATTAGCGCGTGCAATTAACACCGGCGCCAATTTGTCGACGATTCAATTTGCGCGCCGGAGCTATTTGCGCGAGTCTCTCTCGTCTGCGAGCGACAAATCAATTGTCGGAAACTGGTGACATTCCGCGAAATTCAGATACGCACCGTTTTCCAAATGTTCCTTTACCGATAACGAATGCTCAATTTGTATAGTCACGTAATTTCTTATACTTCCTTTTTTTAACTTTCACTCCAAAATTCGGTATGACGTAAAAAGATCGACGGAAGGACGCGAAGATTTTTGTTGCATCCCGAAGTGCGTATATAATGCAAAATACGGTTATTGACGCGCGTTTCGTGACTCGCGGCAATAAAAATCTGTGCCTCTTATTCATTATTGTCTCGATATTATGCAGAAAAATACGAAAGTCACGGCGAAATTAATGAGACTACCTGCGCATAACGCATATGATGTTTGCCTTCGTTAAGTCATGAATCTGATGGTAATTGGCGCTCGCGAAAAAAAACTTTCCACTCCGGTTTTCTCCGCGTTATTAGGCATTTTTAAAGCGCGCCGCGCTTCCCGCCGCCCGCGTCGGACAATTATGCGCTACGCGAAAATTCGATATCGCCAATTACTCTCGTTACATCGGTAATGTAAGAATATCCGGCTCTCGGTTGATGTTCGGTCCACGTTCGGTGGAAGCGCCGCGCGCGGTGAAAGAATTTCCGAGGGAATTCTCGCGACGAAACCGAAACCGGCGAGAGACTTCCCGTCCGTGGCCGAGGCACGCCGTTGTAAAATCTATTTTTGCTGTCTTCGAGATTCCCGGCATCAACGTTATGTCGTCGAGTCCCTCTCTTCCTCTCTCTCCTCTCGGCAAGATCCCCTCCCTCCCGTTCCCCTTTGACTCCACCCGACTGTAATATTATACATGCAGAATACTCCGGTCTGTTCGAGAAACCGTCGGATGTATTGCGATGCCACCAGTTTCCGTCCACGGCGTTCTCGAGCTCCCCCGCGGTGATACACGTATATACATGACGAAAGAAAACAATCAGGGGCCAACTATGGCTTATATCAGTTGCCGTTACATCGCGTAAGAATGTCACGTGCAAAAAAAAAAGCACAGTTCGTCGCTTCGGCGGCGGTCGCTGGCAAATGCTAATTCGTGCCGCTTTCTCGCCTTGCTTCGAGACGACGCGACGACGCGACATTCACAAAAGAAACGGAGAAATGCAACTCGTTCCGTTGGAACCGGTAAAAAAAAAAACCATCACCGGAAAAGGCGGCCTTTCATCGAGAACGCGTCTCGTTATCAATCGAGGTCGCTCTCCTGAACTTGATTCGTTTTTTTGTTTTAAGTCAAATAATCTATGTCAAAGTCTCGTACGGGAATACTTGATATCCGAAAGATTGTAGACTCTTTCCGCTGGTATCTGGATAGAGTGTTCGATAATGGGCGCACTTGGTGAACAAACGTGATATTTCTGGTTCGGAAAGAGCTAAAGTAATTGTTTTCTCAGAATTTAATCAATTTTTGATATCACATAACATTAAACACCTTGATGAGTGTTCGAATTACAATTTGATTAAAATAATGTTATTGAAATATTAAAAGAGCCTGTCATTCTTCGGAGTCACTACTTTTAAACTTTTGTAGCCTTTAGCTGCGACGGATTAAAAATCTCAAAAATCTCGATGAAATAACGAAATATCTTTTTTAATCTTCAATATTACTTACGTGTTACAAAATTTTTATCAAGAAAAAACTATTTTAGTTGTTAGTATATCACCAATGCGCTCACGGGATCGCACACCGCGTATTAAGAATACGTGTATGCACGTAAATGTATCGTAACCGCGTCGAGCTCGAGAACGCGCCGAACACGCGTGACAGCATATGGGATGAGAGTACCCGGACCTGTGCAGTGTGCACGAGGATCGCGTGGACGAGGAACGGCGAGCGAGCGGGCAGCCTCGGCGCGGCGGTGGCGAGGTGGCGGGTTTGGAGGACGTCGGCGACTCCTGTACCGCGACGGTGACGTCGTCGGTACCCGGAGCCGGTGGCATCCGTTCGCATCGACGCACTAGACCGCTCTCCCTGGCAGTGCAGCCGCTCAACTACCATCGCCTCGACCCGGACCCCCGACCGCCGGCGCAGATCGTCACCAGGCATCATCCCAACATGACCAGCCAGGAGAGCATCGGCAGCTGCAGCCTGGACGTCGACCGCTCCGCGTCCGACCGATCAGGTTGGCTATCCCGACATTGAGAGACACGTAATCCCCCACGATTACGTGACGTGTTACCGATAAGAGCTCAGCAATCGTCATCTTGCTATTGAGAGAATAATTTAACCATATAGTTAAATTATTTTATTTTTTTTAAGTTGTCTAGTCAATAATCCCCTCCCCTCCCCCAATTTGCGTATCGTTGAGAGAAAAATCTCCAGAAGGAAATCTGGAGATACGAGCTAAAATTCGTATTTAAAAATCGAATTTATAGATATAATTAATTAAGGTTTCGCACAGACAAAAATTCAAATGTTTTTGGGTTGAATTATGAATTAGGATTTTTTAAGTGCTAATATATCTTGGAAGAACCTTGCGATTCTTTGGAAAAAGAACTTTGCTGCGTTGACACAGAATTCTCCCTATCGAGGGAGAAAGAGAATAATCGTGTATGGCAGAGAATTTTTCTACGAGAGATCGATCGGGCCGCGAGAATGATTAAACGCGTCGCTCGAGTGACGAAGTCGTTTCATGGGAAAAAAGTGGAATGCGCTTGAAAGAACGTGCAATTATATCGTACAGTTTATCTGTTAAACCAGTTCTTTCAATTATCCGAAAATGCGGCACTTAATTGACGCTAAAAGCCGCACGTTAAATGTCCAACAACCTCGAAATTACTTAATCAGTAAAGTATTCTCTCATATATTTTACTTCGGCTTTTTGCGAGAAGTAAATATTATATCAGGCGTTTATTAGAAATTCTAATTTGCGTATCGCGAGTCGGTAAGATTTCTCGGGAAAAAAAAAGGATTTCGCACGATTAGCTTAAATTTAGAGACTTATCTTTCGTATCGCGATCTCAGGTATTTCATGGACCTTCACTCGAGATCCATGCAGATTTTCGAGGCTCCAAGGTCGGCGGGGTCGCCGATCCCTCCACCACGTTACTTTCTCGCAGGTCGGCGCAGGACGCTTTTTGCTCGGTCGAAATGCCGATCGGATTTAGACCGTAGGCGAGTTTGCACCAAGTGCAAACGCTTCTTTTCCTCGTCGTTGCCAAGAAGGCATCTATCTTTCTCTCTCGCTCTCTCTCTCTGCCCGCGAGAGAGCCTGTGCTCAGTGTTCCAGGACCGTCGCGGTGATGTAGACGAGCGTGGAGAACTGTCGTCGTGGCTCATCTCAATTCCGCGAAATGCGCCGATTGATCTCGTAGCCGAGAGAACTTCGAAGTGTGACCAAGCTGGATTTCCATTCGGTTGGTTTCGGCGTAAGCGAGCTTGTGCAGGGGCCGCTCCACCGGTTCCCAGGAAATAAGGTCGCGTCGCGAGCACGGCGCGAATAAGATTCGTTCATCCGTATATAACGCGAGCCTGATGGCGTGTGCATAGTGCGTGGGCGACAGCGCTTCTCGAAGGTGAATGTCTCGCCGGCCGAGCAGTTGGCTCGCGGACATTCATCCATTAATGAGAGCACGGTGAATCGGAGATTTCGTGAACGTATAGATAAAAGCGTAACAGAAGAATGTAAACCAGTCGACAGATAAATTTAAACGTTGCGATTCAATCTACGCAACACCCTCAGCTCGTCATCGTTAACATGAAGCAGCCAAATACATATTTACGGGATCGTTATAATATTTCGTTCGATCGCCCGGTGCGACGTTCCTGACGATTTCTACGTCTTTCGTTTTTTAAGTTTTTTTTTTTTTAATCGGAGCCGAAGAAGATCGGAGCGCTTCCGCGAGTGCCAAATCGGAATTTCCGCTTTCAGAGAACGCCGGCGTGGACTCCGTGTCCGAAAAGACTCTGCACAGCCTGAACCTGTCGTGCAACGGCGAACCGGTGTCGCCGCCCGAGAACTTGGCGAACGGCAGCAGCGAGACGTTGCAGAAGTCGCACCTCACCCCCGATGAGAAGAAGCTGAACGCCAGCAATGCCCGTCGCAGCAGCCCAGAGCCGGAGCTGACGACGGCGAAGAAGCCCAGCTACTTGGGACTGGCGTGCAGTATAAGCGGCTACTCGGGCATCACCAGGTACGACAGTAAGCTGAGGGAAGGATTTCGCTCGAGGGACAGCAGCCCCGGCACGAGACTGATCACGAGGGACACGAGTCCCGCAGGTTTCAGGTGAGACACTCTTATTACCGCCGCGCGCGTAAAATGTACACTCGCGAATCTCGATTAGATAAGTTGAAAGTACGGGGAAAAAAAAACTGTAGATCCAACGAGAATCTCAGCGTTCCGACGTCCCATCCGCCTAAGAGCCAGTCGATATCGCCGTTAGCGATGGAGAGACAAAACGGATTCACGAACGGCGTGAAGGAGGAGTGCAAGGTCGAGACGTATAGGGAGAGCAGAAGTACGATCAGCATGACGTGCCAAGGTTACTCGGAAGTCGACAAGGGAGTGTCGCTGCACGCGACGTTTCCCGAACTCAGCCCCATCAGGATGAGCACTCCCAGCAAACGGAGCCCCGGATTGTCGCCGATGATGTCCTGCGGCCAACAGAACAAGTCCATGGGCACTGGCTTCTCTCCGAAGCACGGCGTCGTTAATCGTAAGGAAGAACTTCTTTTTTATAAACGACTTTAATATGCTATATTAATTTTATTTCTCTAATGGTTCGTATATAACACTTTCATATACGTTCCTTGAATTAAATTTAAAAATTAATTCTCTTTTCGATCATGAGAAATTAATTTCAACATTGTTGTCTCATCGTTTTTATTCGTGTTAAAAGAACGAAATCCAAAAATTACGTGATTACAGATCGTAATATTTCATGAAACTATAATTTTATTTGAGCTAATGTCTTTGATGAAAAGTTCTTTCGAAAGCAAGTTGTATATTAAGCGTTGATGTTTAACGAATATTGTCTTTCAATATGTGTAAGAGACATATGTGCGTTAGTCTGTTTTGTACCGTCTTGTTTGCGAGTTCTGCTATGGTTAGGTCATTTCCTCTGGTTTGCTACGTTCCCGCAAAATTTCTAAAATTTTATGCCAATTTCTTTGGTAAATTAACTTCTAATTTAAAATTTTTATCTTTAACTCTATCTTTTAGTTTTTTATCTTTTGATCTTCTTAACATTATTAATTTTTATTTTAATTCTGATTTATATATTTTAATTGAAGAAGTAGAAACATTATATATTATTTATGTATTTACCATGTATTACCATTTGTTACAAATTTTATTTTGGATTTTTCTTATGTCGTTTTATCAAAGGAGATTCTAAGAAGCTTAAAATTTTTGACGTCAAACAGTATTTCTATATTAACTGTTAAATAATTATGTAAAAATACGCACCAATATTTCTCGATTGAAGTGAGTTAGTTCCAACTGGCCCTTCTTTATTATCATTTACATTTCATATTATTTTAAATTTCTTCATTTAATTCTCTTTATTTTTTTTTGCAGTTTCGGGTGCGTCGTTTAGCGATACTAGTATTCTAAACGGGTCGTCGGTAGAGGTTGAGAGCCAAGTGATAAACACTTCGTCGAGCAGCGAGAAATCCTTTATTCAACAGCGAGTGGAGCGGCTATACGGTCCGGGTGCGCTAGCGCAGGGTTTCTTCTTCAAACGCAGCATCACTAAGCTGAACACCAGCGACAGTAGTTTCAATAAATCCAGTAATAACAATGACACTTCGACGGACAACGCGAACACGGAGGAATCGTTGAAAAATCTGCCTGTCCTGCGACACTTGCGCCCGGAATTTCGAGCGCAGCTCCCTGTAGTCAGTAGTAGAAAACCGACAGACGGCACGGAACAAGTTATAAAGCCATTGCAAAGGTGAGCGTTCTACATTTTACCCATAATTAAAATAAAAATCTGCTTAGTTCCATTTTCCCTCTTTGACGACGGAATATCTTTATCATTCTCAGGGTAACACCGGTGACGCGGAAAACCGAGCAGAAGAGCCCCCCTACGAATTCACAGAACAACGCGAGAGAGATGAGAATTTCGATTACCATAGAGGGTGACGTACCGCGCGAAACGAAGGCTAGTAAAAGTATACCCGATCAGCAGCCAGCCGCGCCGAAAGTAGTGTTACCTGTGTTAGAACCAAGCGCCAGCTCAACGAACATAGCGAAGCAGGCTCAAGAGGCGGAAAAAGTGGTCGAGGAGAAGGATGGTCATTATTTTATGAAGGTAATTTTGCAGAGTAGATGCGTATATTACACGATATGCCTATAAATACCTTGTATATTCTCGGCAATAAGGATTCACACGCACTTTGTGATTTCAGTTGTTGAAGCAAGAGACGGATAGACTGCTGTCGTTGGCCGCATCTGCAGAGGCCGAATTAGCCAGCGGCGATACTGTTGCACTGCCAGAAGAAGCGGCTGGTAAGCTGCGTTCTGCCGCGGGGAAAGCCAGATTGCTAGCCTCGCAGAAGATGCAGCAGTTCGAAGGACTATGTCAAAAGAATATTGTAAGAAAATTTCTAATTGTTTCTTTTTTTATTTGGAGCATCGAGAACGGGTTACAGCTAGCGGCTCGTGTCTTGATATTTTTTTTAGAATCAGATGCCGGGTGAAGAATTTCCAACGACGAGCGAGGACTTGGCTGGCTTCTGGGACATGGTGATGCTACAGGTTGTTCAAGTGAACGAGCTCTTTGACCAGATAGAGAAACTGAGGAAGTCGCAATGGCAAGAGGTATGATTAAATATTATTATTAATGTCGGTCTTCAATTTTTCGATTCATATTCCTTATTTTAAGTAATCTTAAGTAGTTTTAAGTAATTTTAAGTAAATAAAAAGTAAAAATCATGTTTCTCTCTGTAACTTTTTGACTTCTTGTTGTTACATCTTTAGCATTTTGTTCCGTGTGCCCGTAGATCGTGCCGGACAAGAAAACCGCGTCGACCTCGCAACAGAACGGTAAACGCCGAGTCATACCGGTCCACAAGGCGAAACCGACCGCGAACAGCGAGGCGAACAAAAAGGCGCGCGAGGCGAGGGAGCAGGCGCGACGACAGATGATTGAGGAACGGAGACGAGCGATGCGCTCCAACGGGCAAAACCCCGACAATTCCGTCGAGATCTACGCTCCCGAAACGTAACGATAGACTGTACGTCAAGTCCCGGGTTTGACCGAGCGACACGATCGCTCGACGTTGCGGCTCGTAAGCGAATATTATAGCGTGTACAGACGCGTCAGTTCGAACGCGAGAGGGAAGAGGTAGAACGCCCGCGAGCTCGTAATTGCGAGACGATAACGCAATCAGCTTCGGCAAAAAAAAATCAAATTCGCTTGTTATAATTATTCATTCAAGATATTATCATTCGCCGTGCGTGCGCTCGCGTGAATTGCACGCGAGTTGTGCGCGGCGAGGTACAGGAAGAAAGTATTAAGCAGATAGATCGTGTAATATGTGTTGAAAAGTTGCTGAAAATTTAATACTACTACAAGTAAGAGAGAGGATATACACACGAGTTAAACGAAGGGCAGGTGTTTACGTATTGCAGGAGTTTCTCATCTTTTTTTTTTTATCGAGCTTCGACGTGTCACGCATCATCCCGAGCATTCTAGCGCAATAACGCGATACGCCGACGTTGTGTCGCCTCTTGTCTATAGAAATATTTTATAAACGAAAGGTGTGAAATGTTTACTGTAGCATTTTATCAAATTGTTTTTCTACGTTTCGTGTCTCCGGACGGACATTATTAACTTATATTTATATAAGTAGCGATAAGTTGCGTGGGGCAGAAATTAGAAATTGGCGATAAAAGAAGGTGGTCCCGCAAAAATCCTCACACAGTGGAAAAATCAGTCGCGTTTTAAAAATCAAGAGAGATACGTCTAGGTTAAGGATAAAGTAATAAGAATTTTGTAACATAATGATTTGATATACATATATATATATATAACAATTTCTGACGAAAATGAATTATTTGCTAATTTATTTAGGATAGATTCCGTTTTTTGATAATTCGCAATCTCCTTAACCTAGACCAGGCAGTTTATTACGTAGCTTATTGTATGTAAATAGAATTAATGAATATTCACACACTTGCACAAGGCCGACTCTACGCCAAGTGTTCGCCTAATAGCTTTTTTTTCTATCAGACGTCGATAAAGTTTCCCCTCCCCCCCTAGTTGAGAGAGGTATATACCGTCAACAGCAGGAGTAAAAAGATTCCTATTATTCTTATTATCGTATATATTGCGCGTCTCACGGCGATAAATATTATCTTATTATTATTGTTCTAATTACGATCATGTGCAGTTACACCCTCCCGCGTCTCTCGCGCGAAACGTGGACGTGTAAATTATTTATTTCCCGGTTTCTCTTCGGAAACGCTCCCGGCAAACACGACGTCTCCAGGTTTCGCGCGCGAGACTCCGGCGCGCCAGGAGCACTCGATAGCTGACATACTTTTTGACTACTTGACTACTAAGATGATTGTGTGAATCATCGAATATTGCACACAATTCGAAACGTTTGTCGAGAGAATGTGAGAGAGAGAGAGAGAGAAAGAGAGAGTGATATATCGGATGCGAATGCGTGGCAAATGCTGATAATCCTGAATATCCTCATTATCTTGACGGATCTCCGCGATGAGAATCCGCCTGTGATCGACGTACGTGTCACATCCGCCGAATTTGACATTCCTGCGACAAGAGTATCTCTCGTCACGACACGTCACACTATATTTTTTTTTCCGTTCGTTCGCGTAGTTGTACGATAGCGTTACTCCTCGGCGTCCGATCAATGGTCAGCGGTTCTAACGGCAGGTCATCAACCAAATAACACTCATACTCATAAGCAAAACAATCGCACGCGCGTCGTCACACACGAACTGTATAATTCGCGATTCCGTTATAACGTTTACATTTCTTATTATATATAATTGCCAATTACACTCGTCTCATTCGAAATTTTCATACAAACTTACCCGGATAATTTATTAATTGTTGATTCCCTTGGTGCCTTCATTATTTATATATGTGTGTACATAAATCGATTGACGGCCGATAATTTCATGTACATGTACCTATTTAAGTTATATGCATTCGACCGAATTTCACGAGAAATTTGTTGAGAATAAAATGAATAAAATTCCATTATTTATCAAAATCAGACGTGCTTGAAAATGGAGCGTGAAAAATTAATCGGGCCAAAGAAATAATGAAGAGAAATCATTAGGTATACCTATGTATTCTCTCTCGTTGTGCGACAGTACATTCCTTTTTCACATCGAGTGAACGAAAGACGGGACATCCACATGTTTTACTTTATATTTCTCTTTAACATATATAAAAACACATGTATAAGATATAAAATAGGAATTCTCCGCGGACGCCTACGGCGTTCGATATAAATTGCGGCAGTAAATGTGGGAAGACGGTAAGTACATCCGATACTTAATCTTCGTGCGTACAATGCATCGCGTACGTGTGACATCCGGCAAAAATGTCCATTTCCCTATCCGAGCCCGTGCAATTAATTATTCGTGCGACAGTTTCGCGTCCGCGACAAAAAAAAACTTTCGTTTCACCGTTTCTGCCGCGCGCGATGAACACAACGAGGTGAATATATTTCTGGTTGCACTGGGTCTTCTTCGAATATCTCATTTCGACGCTTCTCACCGAAGTGGCATCCATTTACCGGCGAGGCCGGACCGCTCGCTGATTTTATTTGCGCGTGCTCAGGCTAAGCATATCAGGGTCTTTCCTTCGTTCATTTTGTCCTGGACCTTGTCGCTGGCCGTCGACTTCTCCGCCTGTCCGCTAAAGGCGGCGCAGACGAAGGTGAGAGCGACACCGATCGCCGCGCTATAAAACGCCCAACCTGAAAGAAACGATCCTTTTTTTTTTTAGTTTGCAGCCTCCCTAATTTAACTCCATCAAGACTAGTCTAATTTAATTTTATTATTTTGTATAGCAATCAGGCAGTATATCGATTAATCTATTCTTGGAACTAAAATCTTCATCGTAATTATTTAAGAAAACGCCCAGCCTGAAAAAGAACGATCCTTTTTTTTTACATTCTGCAGCCTCCCGAATTTAATTTGATCAAGATTAGTCTAATTTAATTTTGTTATTTTGTGTAGCCAACAGGGAGTCTACTGGTTGATCTATTCTTGGAATTGAAATCTTCATCGTATATAATTATTTAAGAATAAAACTCATCTTCATTGTATATAATTATTCAAGAATAAAACTATCTTTTGAAGAACGTTTTAGAAGCCTGACTTTAAGCACTAATTTCTTAATTTTCGATATTAAATATTTAATTTACCAAGACTGCAGTTAGCGAGATAGAAGGCGTCGGCTTCAGGACCGCAGATCCTCTGCACTCTCTCGGCGCCCCAACCAGCGGGATATAGAATCATTCCCAAAAGATATAGTATTCCTGTAAAAATAAAATATGCGTCAAATTAGATCGTTAAAAATTATAGACACGTATGAACATATATATAAATATATACGAAGCACCGCGCCTTTGTGCAGATACCAGGAACGCGGACTCGATCGAAACCGAAACCGATGACCGGATTGGAACCGAAAACCAGACCGAAATATATTGTGCCAGATTAATGCATAGACCGGATCCATAACCGGACCAAAAGCTTTTTTTCGGTTATCGATCCGTTTTTCGGTTCGATTTTCGGTTCGGAAAAAGATGTACGGCACTTCTGTATTTTACTTCGGTCCGGGTCCCTGCGGCAGATGAATTTCCCGCATTATTTCATTTGTTAGAACCGTGACAATGGGGACCGCTTTTTAAGGCATGTATATGCCCGTTGATTATTCCGGGCACAACCTTTCGCAATGGAGGTTGCGTCATTCGCACTCTCGAGATACCATTGTCAGGCTGAGAGCACGTTACGCACGCGGAATACCCAGCTGCAACGAAACGATGACGGTTGCTTTCTAAGTTCTGCATCATTCTAACTAACATTATCATATTGAGAAACGACCAACGAGCTTTGTACATATAATCGGAGCAAACGCGGTACATAGTTTCTGAGGAAGAAGTGGGGCTTAAATCTCCCTACTATGTGAGAGAAGAGGAATCTCTTTTTGAAAAATATCGCCCATCATTTCACGGATTATTTCATCCGCGCGGGCTAAGAGGCTTAGTCGAGGTTTCATCGTTTCGTCATCTCATCATCTCGATCCTCGCCTCCGTCCGAGGAGGCAGTATTATACCGGCAACGGCTTGCGCCACTCCCGCCAGATTGAAGATGCTCTTGCGGCCGATGCTCTGCACGCAGCATCCGAGCAGGGCGGCCACCACGGTCACCGACATCGTCGCCAGGCCCGCGGACAGGAAGAACAGGGACGCCTTCCAGCATCCCGGGAAGACGTTGGAGTCCGTCGCGAAGCCGTCGACGTTGAAATTCGCGCAGTGCGTCTTGCCATACAATCTCGTGCAACGATTGAAGATCCCCACGGTTGGCGTGTACAGTTCCGTGCCGTTTCCTTAAAATTTTAGAGTAAGTCAACGGATGACGATACCAATGGGCCACTGTGATTCACTTCGATAGCAACCGAACGTCGTATGATAACGATAATATTTGCTAATGTAGACTACCCTGCTTAAAAGATCCGATAGATAATGATAGAAATAGATTTAAACTTTATTGAAATTTTATCTAATTACAGTAAAGTTATCGTTTCTATCGGACTCACATTTGAGCTGCTATAGAGAAGTTATCTATTTCTATTGTTTCTTCATAGATATTATATATATCTTACTTAAACATTAAATACACTTAAATACAAATTGGACGTGTATGTTTTTTTTTATACAACTTATCGAGTTATCTAATCCAAACTGAAAATTATGATTTGTTATAATATTGTATTATATTTGTAAGAAATATTAAAATAATTTATATATATAAAAGACACAAAATCTCTAAAATTAAAATATCACATAATAAATCATACATAAATTGAAAACATTGCATGATAATATCAATTTTGACTAAATATGATCAAAGATTAACATTATACTTAAAGACTTTTAAATTATATACTAAATAGAGCAAAAAAGATAATAAATCTGATATTTACGAACCAGAAACACGATAGAATTGTACAGTTTTTCTTCTTCTCTAATTCTATCGAATTATTTCTTCTTATCTAATTCTATCGGATCTTTTAAACAAGGATAAGGAGATTATACTTTATATGATGATTATTCGATCGTTATACATTAATAAATACACGCAACGGAGATTCCTCCGATGTCTTGTCCGAGTGGAGAAGAAGTTACTACTTACTTGTATCCTTAATCGTCGGTGGTCCTACAAGCCATCTGGGAGTGATGAGACCCGATAAAACTGCCATCAACGCTGCCATGGACAAAAGCGTCCACAGCAGACTACGTCCAGTGACTATCACATAGCACATGCTGCCGATTGATGGATATTCTCTATGCCATTCTTAGATCGCTCGACCGTGTCTGAAAAATAACGTATCCGCTCCGTCAGTTTCATTTACACTAAGCTCCGGATTAAATTTTACGATCATCGACGTAATTATAACGAGTAATAAATTCCTGCATAAGTAGGATTCGATGTTGCTGCGGCAATTAACGCAATCGCCTTCTTTTTCTTTTTTTTTTTCGTTGCCTCTACCCGACATTCGTTTTTATAATGAGGGGCCCGTGATCGAATAAACGCCACGCAGAATGAAATGCCTTTCACATTAGTATTTCGTGGAAAATGACGCCGGGGCGTCGTTGTTATTCGTGGTTTCTCCTTCTCGTCGAGCGCGGGCATTAAAAGCGCGGCTGCGGATACACGGGGCCGAAACACGTATACAGGATACACAGATCTCGGATTACGGCGCGGCGGCCAACAGTTATACGACTTTTTATTCTGATTTCACGGAAATCGTGAAAGGGCACGGGGCACAGAAAATCACTCGACCCCTCGGATCTAGCTCACGACGGCCGTGGAATCACCGACAAACGGACGCTGTAAGACGTGTTTCGTTCGTGATCGATTCTGAGACCGGAGACTTTTGCGCTCGTCCCGGGAGATAGCGCGGGGTCTTTCAAAAGCACCGCCAGTAATTTTCTGATCGATTAGAATAACGTAGGTTAAAATAGGATTTTACAGTTTAATGTATAATTGTATAGACTTTAAATTAGGAATTTTTCAAATGACGATAGTTTGATTTATACCAAACGGAACGCAAGAAAAATACTGAATAATTTCGTCATAGTGGTCGAGGGCGTTAAGCGTTTCTATAATTTATCTGCCCGCGCGAACACACGTGATAATGATTTCCTTTCTTTGTAAAAAAAAAAAAGGGTGATCTACGAAAAGGGTTAATTCAAAGCAATCGCCGCCCATCCTAGCTCTCAGTTCGGAATAGCTCCGACTGCCCTCTTCCCGGCGTGATCGTGGGCGGCGTCTTTTCGCCTTTTACGCCACACGTCCTGCTCGAGACCACTCTCTCGCCTCTCGAGATTCTCTCTCGTGCTCTTCAAACCCGCAAACTTTAATCGTCCTCGCCCTCTCACCGCCAATCGAAAGGTCCACTTTGATCTCCACCGGCAACGAGTCGACAGAGTAAAATTGTGACCTGATGTATGTTAAATATAAGGAGAGCGCCCTCGAATGAAACTTGATTCTTTTGTGCAATTTTAAAGATTGTGAGTTTATATATAGATCCATTTCCGATAGCTACGCGTCAAAGCACACGTTCCAAAGTGAGTTAGGCTTAAATCAGTTAACGAGAGAAAAAAAATCGTAATATAATGCGAACGTGATAAGCGTAACCTTTTATTATCGAAATATAAGGCCGAAGAAATTCGTCGACACTTGGGTGCTGTTGTCGCTTTTATTTCCGTCACTCCTTGCCTGCGGCTCGCAACCACTTCACGGAATGTGTTTACTTAGGATCACCCCCTAATCGCTGTTTATATTTGCGCTGTCTCGAACTCCGGAACATAAATGAATCTCTCTCTCTTGAGAGATGACGTTGATGTATCGCGAGAGTGTCTTAAGAAAACGTTCCTTTAAGCCAGATTAATCAATCTCGTTTGCATTTTGACGACCGTAAAAACCTTTTCGCGACCGATATGACGCTTTATTCGTTTAAAACGTCAAATCATGTTGTTTCAACTGTGAAAAGAATATCGACTACCTCTCACCCTCCCTAATACTATTCATCAATTAGCGACAATTAATCGGCTGTCGTCGAGCGGTTATCTACTTGTGCGATTTTCCGTCGCGTTTAACCCTTTGTCTCGACGTCCCACGTGATTGGGAATTAATGAGCCGTGTCTTTAATTGACAATCTACGGGGATTCGGAACGGAGAGACTGGAAGAGACAAGCGCGGCGTTGGACACGCGTGGGCCGACCGCTGTCCGCGCGAGTCTGCCCGACAGGCAGCTGCGCATTTTTCCCTTTTATTTTAATTATACCGGCTTCATTGTTACGTGTAGTGCTGCCACGCCTTCTCATAATGCGATATACGGGCCCCGCGCGAGACCCCCCTTTCGCCGAGAGACCGCGTGCGCGCGAGCCACCGCGCGAGGAGGATCGTGAATTAATCCTCCGAGCTCTCGTAACCGCGAGATCTCGACGCCCGCGGCGCGAAATTTGCGTGGAATTCTTCGCAACTCGGCGGCGTCGCGTTTAATTATCGTCGTTTATCCGTGCGCGGATCTTTGCAGTGCAGTCGCTGTTGCAAGTTTAATACGGGCCCTCCGTGTTCTCGCGCGAGAAAAGGACGCGGGGTTTATCATCACGCGCCGGCGAGATCGACCGCGACCGTATAGAGATCTGGCGCTTGCAAGCAGATTATTAGCATTCTGCGTTGACTTACGACTTTTCGGCCGTAAGTTACCGGACAGAGGACCCATTGGCGGATGACTAATGGTCGGAGCGTCTGTGCAAACGGCCATGGCGAAGAGGAAGAAGGATATTGCATTCCGCGAAGATGCGTGAGTCGAATGAGAGATTCAGATGCCACCCACGGGCGATTCTACAATAGGGATCCGAAACGCACTGTATAATCCTTCGCGAAGAGGTAAAGACGTAAAGGGATTCAGAACGGGATCTTTAATTTATCGCTTGACCGTATTGAGATATTAAAAAAAAAGTCGCAGGAAAAGAGGACAGAGTCCCCAACATCAAGCTCGCGCCGAAGAGGAATCATTTGTCTGGAGAAAAAAGATGTCTTAAGGGTGAGACCGTCGCGGTGGCATTAACGCGACGCGAATCGTCTTAATTGTTCCGAGAGAACCTCTGCCCGCGCGGGCGTTTGAAAACAAGGCACCTACTCTCCTTACATAATCTCGCGAGTGCGCCATATGCGAGGCAGCTGTTGGACAGGTGCACCCTTGCATCTCGCATCTCTTGTCTTTGTCCTCTCTCTTCGTCCTCCTCCATGTAGTCTATACGGGGAGAAGAGAGGAGAAACGGGGAAAGAGAGAGAGAAGGTGAGTCACCTTTTTCTCTTTTCGTATATAGCTTCGCCATGCCAACGTTTCGCGTTTACCATCGATTTTACCCCTGGTGATTTATCGCGATTCCAAGGGCGATCGTTTTCCCAAACGATCGACCGGTCCTTAACCGACCCGTGCCGAGCGTGCGACCGATCTCCCTCCATCCAGAGAAATATCTAACGTGAGACGTAATTAGCCTCTTATAATCGCGCCGCGCCGTGAGTCATTCGACATGGGTCGTGTAACCAGGACAAGTGGAACTCAAACATGTCAGTCGAGTATTGTCGGATACTTAAAGCAATCGTCCCTAAAACGAGGTTGTACAGCAAAGAATTTAAATGCACAATTTTATTTCGGATAATACAAGCTATCGCACGTAAGAACGTGCAGGAATTTTATAAAATTATAAAATATGTAATTTTTCATTTATATATAATATATACATCTTGAAAACTTGATAGAAACATATCCTGTAAAACTTTGAATATTCATGATATCCATCTTACGATTAGCGTAAAAAGGCATGATGTATACTCACAGCCTGCTATAAATCGAAGTGATTATAGCAGGCAGTACCACGGGCGATTATCAGTGCTCGATCAGCCGGAAGTGCGCGAATGCGCGCGAGAAATTGCTTCCGAGCGTAAACCTGGTGAGAATTCACGCGTGATATAAGTAAGCGTGCCTGGCGATCGATACAGACCGCCGTGATTCTAACGACGGGATAATTAAGAAACGATGACAACGACCCTGAGGCTTAACGGTGAGCCTCTCGCCAACCGGCAACGAAGACCCGGCGATTAAGATAACCGCGTCGCTGATCGGTTTTAGATCCGGTATGCAAGTGATCGTGGAGAATCTTCTTACGATCGCGACGATTCCGATTTTATTTCTTCGCTATTTCTGGATCGCGTAATTTGCCGGAGCGCGTATAAGAGAATATATTACCAGTATTATTAATTATTTTTAGAACATAACGCGCCGCTGTCTCGTACGAGATGCAAAATATTAAAATAAATTTATGCAAATTAGAATTCCAAAGTATATACACTCCAAAGTATCGAATAGGATGCTCCTTCGGCAGGCCATGAAACATCCTGTACATGCACACGTTACACATTGCTCGAACTTACAGTCGCGTAGGTATATAGATCGCGTATATGGTGTTTAGATTGGACACGCGCTGAAAACGATCCGTCAAGTTTATCGGCGGCACTTGCCGCCGCTCTCGGGTTGGGCACGCACATACAAGCGTCGTTAACGAGCTTATCTCGTGCCTCAGGAAGTTGCACACTTACCGCCCGCGTCTGCGTGCATATTTCTGCGCGCGCGGCATTAATCGCCGAAGGCGAGAGATCGCAAGGCCAGCACGATTAGGTCTGCCCGTTTTAGCCGCGCTTTCCTGCGCTCGTCGTGTTCAAAGCGAAATAGACGAGACGAGCTCGAATCATCCGGAGAACGAGAGAGAGAGAGAGAGAGAAAGAAAGAGGACGAAGACGAGGGATCGAACGCCAAGGAGCACGTTGCGGCTGAAACGGACGGACCCACGGGCGATTCCACGAACGACGTTAATCACCGCGGTTGCTCGAAATCGAGATTATTTCCGCGCTCTCGCGAGACTCACGCGATCTCGTTGTTTTGCGACGCACTTAGAATCACGACGATGCCGGTTCTACAAGTAAGATAAATCCACGGAGGATTCAGAAATATCTTCGGAGGAGGTTCCAGCAACATGGCGAAGGATGAATTGCAATTTATCTTAGTTTTTCTTTTTAGATTTATCTTACTGATAATTTGCGGAAAGCGAGAGAAGAACTGCAGGTTTCTCCGCCGAAAATTACTTCTTGGCAACTCCTCCTGTTAAATCCCTGTGTTTACGAAAGGATATGTTGTTACGAAACTCCTCGATTTTAAGAATTTGTTTATCATTTTTGGCGAGCATCGCTGCCGGTTGGCATTAACATTCTCTAACGTTGCCGGGAGCACGCACGCACGCACGCACGCACGCAGGCAGCTTCATTTATGCGCGCACACGCACGAACGCCCAGCCAATTTATATTTATGATGTATCGGACCTCGATGACACAGCGACTGGCTATGCTGGTCTCGAAGTTCTCGAACCAGCACGCGGAGAGAAGGCTAGGAAGAAAGGACAAGATAGGAGCAATAGACAGAAGAGCGGCTGACAGAAGAGTGGGAGGAAAAGGAAACAGAGAGAGAGAGAGAGAAAGAGAGAAAGAGAGAAAGAAGGAAAGAGGTTGCCAGAGAGAGACAAGAGAAACACCCACGGAATGTAAAACGTTCCGACTGCTTGTCCCTCTGTGGGTTACTACCACTTCCGTTCGACTTGATTGCGAAAGAGCGAAAAACTCACGACGGACAATACACGCTCGATATGCTAAAAGGGGTATCCCGATTGCACAAAACTATAACTATGTATCTCTTTCATAAAATTAAAACTCTGTCGTATATCCTGTTTATGTACGTATATTAGAATTCTCGGAAATTCAAAAATGATAAACTCCGGCGGGAAGTAAAAAGAACCGCCAATCGTAAAATCGTTATCTCGAAGTTGATCCTCCCCGAGCTCTTCCACGAGCTCGCCCATCCTCTCCCGTTCACGAGAGACACGAGACGCATTCTTGAAACTTTACTCTTTTTTTCTCCTCTTTCCTTCCTATCGGGAAACGTATTAAATGACCGCGCTCGTAAAAGTAGCCGATTCGATTGGCGGTCATTACTCTTCCCTGGCACAGCCTCATCCTTCTGCTCGCGCGCGCCACGTGTTCGTCGGTCGGCTCGCGCATTTGCGTGAAAACGAAACATGCGGCGCATTTTAATTATCCACGTACGTCGGCTTAAATAATGCGCGCCCACGCGTGACTCTGCTCCTTGAGGAAGGGCTCCCTCGAGAGGGAGAGACGGGCGGATTTCCCCGATAAAGTGGGCGTGACATCCGTGAGAATCCACTTCACGATTCCGATTCGCGAGACCACTGTCACAGTCATCAACGTGGAGAAGGATCAAATTACACTTCTCATTATTCGTAGAATTTCTCGCCTGTGTGAGAGATTTCCGTGTATTACGGAGTCTGAGTCAATGAGTGCTCTCAACGGTTCGTCATTTTCTCGATGACGGTAAACTGATTGCGAACAGAATGCAATTCCTCGGAGACTTTCATTTTTACATTGTAACGTTTTTCGTTCAATTTATTTTTTTCCCCTATTCTATTGTAAGTACGCCTTCCGATTAACTTCCTCAAATGGCTCGATTCGTTCGCCATTTCGTGCCTCGTGCACCCAATGCCTCTGACCCACTTGACAGCCGAAAAGAAAAAAACTCGGGTCCCCCCTATAGCAAGCGCGGGGAACACCCTTTTGTTCAACGAGTCGCTCTCCAGACGCGAGTCGCCCGCATTCCTTTCGAAGAAAAAGAAGAGCAAGCAGTCCCCTTCCGCGTTGAAAAAAAAATAAGGTGAATTTACAAGCGACTGGAAACAAGCGATCGACCGACTGCACCGAGTTGCATCGGCAACATCTGGAAATACGATTTCATCTCGGACGCGTTTTTGCGCTTTGCCGCACCCGATGCGAAAACTATTCGGTCGCTGTGGAATCGCGGGAATTTCTAAGCTTGGAAAAAACTTAAGATACACTAATTTAAGATCTCTTTCTCTCTTTCTCGTGTTTTTTTTTAAACAAAATAAAATCTTTTATTTAACTATTAGGATTCTGGAACCACGATTTATCTCGAACGATTGTGAATGTTTTTCTATCAGCTGTAGAAAACCGGCACGAGAGATTCCCACATAAACGGAATACGATTGCAACGTGACATCCCTGCCCACGGACTATCTCATTTCACTGACAATGAGCGACGAGGAAAGACGAATCCGCCGTGATTCGGGCCACGAATTAAATTTCACCTATACATCCCATTCCTCGTCACTCGTCGAATATATTCCTTCAAAAAACAAACGCAGACGTATGGGCAAGCGAGTTTCGTAGAATAAGTGGAAACAGGCCGGAAAAAAACTTGCCGGTTGGTCCATGAAACGTAACTCCCAACGGCAAGGCTCGTCTAATTGACAAGCGCGCCGCAATTTGTGCCAATTTAGCGTCGCACGAAATTAATATTAACGATCGCGCGCGGGCGCGCGATGAGTCGTATCTCCCCCCGCGTGCGGGGCAGAGCGGAACGGATCGGGAGGAGAAATTCGAAACCACCCCGGGATGCATAATTCATAATACCGGGTGATTACGGCGCGCCCTGACATCGTGATGTAAACACTCGTAAATCGATGCAATCGGCGAGGGTCTCTCGCGTGGAACGCGAGCGTGCGAGCGAGAGGGCGATTCTGCATGACGAGAATCCTTACTCCTCGGTAATGATAATCCCTTAATCCCTTCCGCAACGGATTGGCACAGCCGTAAATTTTTGTTCCGCTCCGAGTAACTTGAGTAATCTCGCGCGAAATAATTATTATCCTCGTCGAAATTCCCCCCTCGTCGGGAATTTCACGGAGAACACGGCCTCAAGATTAAAAATTATAATACTCCTCTTAACATTTCTTAATACTAATAATTCATACAATTAAGAAAGGAAGCAATTACAGAATAATATAAGTAGCAGCAATTGGAACAAAATGTGGCTTACCTTTCGCTTACTCCTCTCCCGTGTGTGATTCCAGCACGATTTTTGGGCAAGATCGGCGTCTCATCGACGAGGGAACGTTTCGTGGTTTAGCGCGTCGAACACCGGAAGTCACTGGCCTTGATGGAACACGCGCGATTCTTCGCCGATCGTACTCAATCACGGACTCGAGACGCGCACATAACCCACTTCACATGCGGCTCGCTGGACGCGCGGGGCACGACTGAAGAACGCGCAGCGTTCGCCGGAGCGGCGCTATAAACGAGACGCGAACTTGTCAGCCGCCGCACACAAGCGCGGGGCTGGGGGGATAGAATCGGACGCGATCAATCTCCTTCCGATGATAGATCACGGATCAGAGGAGGACGGACGCTCTCATTGTGATAAACGAAATTTTCGGCGAAAGACGCATCGGAATCGAGAATGCAACAGAATTAGGCAAACGTATAATCTAAACGGTTTTGTTGAAAGGTCTAAAAATTTTGCTGAATACAGATCTGAAAATAATTTTGTTCAATAATCAAAATAATTTGTTGGAAAGTTAAAAATGATAGGCATTGCTATAAAACGTTTTGATATTCTGGCAATCATTTTGACTTTCCAACAAAATTATTTTGATTATTGAACAAAAATTATTTTCTGATCTGAATCTAGCAAAATTGTTTTTTCCGTGCATGTATTTTAAAACGTTTTTTACATACATTTCTAGAGATTTGAACTTTGCGTTAGAATATATATCTCCGTGCTGCACGGAGAGCAAAACACTAAAGACACTTTTCTTATGCAACAGGGCTACCAGCTATCAATTGAGAGTATTATAAACTTAATCGATCTAGTTATTATTGAGATAATCGTATCTCGGCTCAAGTAATTGGAAGCGACTCTCGTATAAATACCCGGTCTGGCTGTCGCGCGTACACTTGGCGCAAGACACGACGGTCTGTCTCTCTTGATGACTTGACAACTCATTGTTCGAGTTGTGCGACAATAAGCAATTGAAGGGCTTGCTCCAACAGTGAGCTAACCCACATTTTACAATAATGGAGAAAGTAAAGTTCAGAGAGCTCTACAGTTCACAATCACTTTAACTTAAAAGTTCGTTTTCTTCATTTTAATGTGAATTAATTTACTTGCAACAAACAATTTCTTCAATGGCTTCAAATGCACATTTTATAATACTATAGCATTACAGACGCGCTATTTAACATTTTTTACTCTTTGCTATAATTTATTATCATATCACCTCAATGCACCAACTGTCAAGTAATACCATGACAGCCGTTCAATGAAGTAAACGCAGCGAGAGAATCAATCAACATCGAAAAAGCGGCAGCAAAACTTCGGGAAATGCAAGTTCTCTATCGACTTAACAAGTCTTTTTTTTAGATAAGGAGGAACCGAAAAAATAAGATAAATATTATCTATAGAAATCTGTGGCTTATTTTCTATAAAAATAAGCTCTAAATTGTTCACTTTAATTTTTAGTTTATTTTCTCCGTTTTTATATGAAATGTTATAAAATATGAATTAGCTCACTGCAATAAACTCTTCAATTGCAATTCGACGATAATTTGAGTAATTATATTATTTGGATAAACACTCACGTCAACGTTCAACGTGCAATTACGTTAAAAAATAATCAAAAAGGCATTTTAAATACTTCGTTATTGTATCGATAAGTTAAGGATTTCTCGATCGTATGTAACGGCCACAATCGTGAAACTCGCATGATTCATGTAAATAAATATGACATAAAATTTTCTCTCTATTTCCGCATAAAGATTTATGATCTCAATTTTGTCTCGTTGACCACATCGCTCTCGTCGCGCGCACGACATCGACTTAAATGCAACCGTCCGCTTCCCGTCGCAGCGCGAGATGTGTCATCGATCGAGCCCGGGGGTTTCACGGCCGTCGTCCGCGGCGCCGTTAGGGCCCCTCGACACAAATCATTTTGGTAATCGTCCCCGCAGCGCCCATAATTACAGACTTTAATCCCACGAAGGCCCGACGGCCAGTCTTTATCGCGCAACTCGATCCTCCGCCGCCTCCTGTTACGCAACCACGTATCAGAGTTCGTTCGATACTTTTCCCGAAGGCTTTTCCCCCCTAGCTTCCTCCTCTCGCCCCTCTTTTAGGTTACGCGTGGCTTCGCAGGGGTTAGTCACCCCTATATTTCCCGAGCATCAGATTACATGTCGTCTGCGGCGAGGGGCGCCGTAGGCGCCAATACCCCTGCGAATATGTGACGCGTGCAGTGGGAAGGTCGACTTGTTACACGACGAAATATTGAAAATCAAGAATTTTTACTTAAAAGAAATCTGTAATATTAACCACGCAACAAAATATATACTCAAATTTATGCGGTAAAATCCAAATTCTTCATTTTCGTGATCCGAAATCCTGAATGCGCGCATCATAATAAATGTTGTCCAGATTTAATATTTTAAAGATATTGTGTATTGAACGCTTTTCGTCACTTGTTTCTCTTCAGTCACACCACAGTAGAGATCGCAGCAGAACAAATAGATTTAGAAGGTTAAACATGACAAGCAGAAGAAGCAAATACGCTGCATCAATAAGAGACCGAGCATCTTCGATAAACGGTTAATTTTTTGGTATAAAAATTATAAAAAATTAAAGGAAGAATGGAAAAGACATAGAATTGTCAAAATAAATATGGTATTTGTAATTTGAAATTTTCATTAATATCATATTTTTGTTGCAGCAGATCACTCGAGGAGGGGTTCTCAAGAAAATTTTATCACGAAATTTCTAACGCATTGCGAGGAATATAACGTAGAATCGTTACCTAGTTTTATAGTAAATTTTCATAAATATTACCTTAGACCTGCGTGTACAATTAATTTTCATTACAAAGCATGATATACTCTTTCGCAGGTGAGAGATGGCGTGGAGCACTATGCGAAGATTGAACCAGAAAGGTCAGTATTTCGACTGTTCCTGAATGTTTTATCGGGTTTTCAAATTCACGTTCATTTAGGGTCAAATTGGACGAGGATATCCCTATCTTTTGCGTTTCTTTCGAACATCCAAAAAGGATGGAGAACGTGCAGGAACTGGAATGTAAAGATAAGCCGTGAAAATGCATTAATTCGTTTACCGATTATCAAACTTAACTGTGACACTCGCGTTTATGTGCCCGTAACATTTTTTTTTTTCATATTGCACGACAGGAAGTGTCGATTTGCATCCTCGACGCACTGAACACTACGCTGCAGAAATATAACACTCTCACGGTGCTCAGGTAAGGCGAAATTTGAAAATTCACAACGTGATTTGACGTTATTGTGACTCCTGACAATTACGCTCTCTCAGATTACCCAGTTGTCAGATAAATGCCTACGGTGTCCTGCAGATAGCACAAATGCTGACGGAATTGGAATGCCTGGACGACTTGAATCTGGATGACAATCCGAATGCGCAGGAGAATTACTATCTGTTCTGCGCGCCGGCCAGAAAGTGCATCGCGAATCCAATGTAATCCGATTTCTCGCGGCGAGCGCTTGATTTATGGAAGAATGTGTATGTTCCAGTTTGCGCTATCTGTCGCTGAGGATGTGTAGGTTATCCGATAACGGTATACAAAAGATCGCGAACGAGCTGAGGTATCGGGACCCGCCGGACAACCCAAAATTGATCGCTCTTAACGTGGCGGACAACGACATTACGGACGTCGGTGCCGAGTATATCGCCGCGATGCTTCGGACAAATCGGTTACGTAACTCCCAAACGTTTCTCGTTGTTCTAATTTAATAATCTAATTTAATAATGATGATATCTCCCCGCGCAAAAGTAATTTTAATAAGATATAACGTTCGCTGATGTACTCGTAGATCGCTGCAAAGCGTGGTGTTAACCGGAAACGCGATACAGAACGACGGGGCTTCGCTAATAATCCAGGAGCTTTCCATGTATCTTTGACTCGTAGTAGCGATTAAATTAGACAAATTTCTTAATTCAGTCCGCTATCTTTAATAACACGACGCGATAGGTCCACTTTGACACACGAAGAAATCGTCGGTCTTCGACGTCGCAGATTTATCGAGCTGGAGAGCAAGGTTGATAGATTATCTCGCCGTGATGTTACTTCTTGTCCATTAATAAACAACTGATTGTTACTATAGCCGGATGGTCGAGATAGTCGAGAGACTCTTGTTGCGGAGCAATGGAGAAAGAACGAAACGTGGCAGCGCGGAAATCAGCTGCTTCAGAATTCTAAAAGAAGTACGTTAGCGCTTTTCGCTCGAATCGTTTTGAAATTCGCTCTATGACTTTATGTATCAAAATGCAGCGAGTCGAGATAGTTTGTCGAAGATGAGAATCCAGCCAAATTCTCCGTCGATATCGGACTGTTCCATCCAAGTAATTTTAATGGCACTTTTATTAGAAATTCTCAAAGTAATATATTACTGAGAGGTATAAGAGGCAAATATAAAATGTATATTTATAGACCTTGAGAAAACTGTCGGACAGTAACATTGGTCAACCATTTACAAAAGAAACTATAGCGATAAACGGCTGCGTGACGACTAGTGGAAATTTAAATTTGCAGCACTTGAGCCTAAGTTGCAAGTTTCTATATCACACAATATCGCTCGTTTGTTCACAACGACACAACTAAAAAAAAAAAATTTCCAAAAAATGAGTTTGAATGTTCTCAATTATTAAAATTTTGTAATATTGGTTTCGAAATGCATCAGTTTTGATGTAATAACTGATTGCAGAGGAATAAAAGTATATACTTTTGAAGTGTTTTTCTTCTTTTTTTTTAAGTTCCCATTCTTTTTCTTGCAAGCAAAAGTTCTCAAATTGAGAATGTTAATTTTTGAGTTATGTCGTTGTTATAGAAAATGAGCAATATAAATTGATTTCTATTGGATACAAACAACTTATAATTGCAAATTACGCGTCCATATCTAGTTAATCGCCTGACGAATAAGACGTTGAAGAAACTGGTGTCGTGTCTGTACTATCAGAATTACATGCTATTAGACGATTACAGCAGAGGGTTGCTACATGTATTTTTAGAGGTAGTCTTTAAATATACGCGCATTATGTTAGGATCGATGCTTTGCAAGCTTTCCGTTTCCGTGATTAGGGCAATGACATCAAAAGGGATGAAGACTGGGCAACGTTTCAAGAATTGTTGCGTCGCAGACGACAGGATGATCAAACGACACAAGATGCAGACTTGAAGGACCACGATTCTATCGGATCGGTTGAAAGCAAAATCTTGCGGAGCAAAATTAGCGTACGGTTCCCTCAATTATGATTATCTTAGATCTTCTTTGTTTTTAACATTCTCCTATTTTTAATAATTCTTGATAAAATTTCAAAAATCACTGCTAATTTCTTTCTTTCTTTATTTGATTATAGCTATTCAACTTAATTTAAAGATACTTGTTTACAATTATTTTTTTAAACGAGACTGTACTAATTAGTACAAGTCGACAACGCGTGGTCTCATATTTATCTTGTCGAAATATGAATAGATATCTTTCATTTATTACAGTTTATTTTTGTTTGAGATTAGTATTATAAAAAAATGGATTAAAGCAAAATGGTTGTATTGAGAATATTATTGCATAAAAAAATGCTTCTTCCCCCCTGTAAAAATTTTACTGAGCCAACAGTCAGTCGATACTGGCCTCGCTTAACTTTTTCCAACAGAAACGGAATCGTCACTTTAGGAATTTTTTCTTCTTTTCTACAGGGTCTCCACATTTAGATTTCCCATTCGCGGTTCTCCAATTGGGCAAGCCGTCGCGTGCGGGGTGGCGCGATCCGTGATAGTGCAGTTATTCGGAGATCTTATTGGATGAAAATCTTATCTTATCTCGCAAAGTGCCTAGCACGCGATACCCTCTGTGTCCGAGGGTATTCGAGCGTGAGTTTGCGCCAAGACGCGACCGCATTGTCACTTTCGGTCGTTGCACCGTTCGCGGAAATGTTGCTGCACGTCGCCACCATTACCGTGTTCGTCAACATCGCTATTATAGAGCTGGACTCCTTTTATTCCCTTCCGGAGAAGGATTCGGATTCCTTACTGGACGAGGTAACGAGCGGACCGCATCGACGCTTCAGAAACGAAATACGCGTTCTAAACTCTGTATCTATTTCACGTTATTTTACGCACTTTTTTAAAAATCAACTATTTCCCTATTAAGTTTATAAAATTGTTTGGCATTTGTGTGTAAAAAAAATGATAATAAAAGTAAAATGTGAAAAACAAGATCGTGGATTTAGAGTTGTTTGTTATATCTTACGTGCGCGTCTGCACAGCTGAATTTTAAACAATTTTTTTTAAATTGAATATAACTTTCAACGTAACGTGCATACAATAAAGAGACGAGCTTGGTATTTTCTAACTCCTTCCGCGCTTCATACTTGACATTACATTATTAGGAAATCAAATTGCGTTTTACATTTGTGTATAACAGAGAGAAGTAATTTTAAATAACCGCGCCGATCGACGACACCGACATCTAGCAACATTCTGTCGTCCGCGTCAGCTTACACGTGTAATTATCATTTGTGTGTGTGGTTGTGTGCGCTGTCAAGCTCTCCATTTGTTCATTTTCCAACTGTTACGGAGCTCACGTGCCGCGATCCGAACTAATTTCAGTCAGTCACCGAGTGCAGATTCGAACGACACTTCTGCGAAAAAAAAAACAGTCTCTCGTGACCTTCTTTCGCCGCGTCATTCCGCGATCTCTCCCAAAATATATAGAGCTCGATCTCGGCGTTTCTTATCAACGAGGTCTTATCCCCAGATTGGGTCGCGCGAAACCAGCGTGACGTAATCACTGCGTGAATCGGCGATCCACCGTCGCATTCCGGTCGCGTCGCGCGTTACAGTCGACCGGAAATCACGTGTAATCCGCGGCTACTCCGCTATTTCCTTCAAAAATGTACGAAAACCTGTTCAAGAGCCCGCTCCACCGTGTATTCGTGTACGGCACGTTGAAACGAGGCGAGCCGAATCACGGCCTCATCAAGGACACCACGAACGGCTACGCCAAGTTCCTAGGCATCGGTAAGACGACGGTCCGATATCCCCTGGTGATCGCTACAAAGTATAACATCCCGTTCCTGCTGAAGAAACCCGATTTCGGCAACGTGAGTTGAGAAGCGAGAATTTTTTAAAGGATTGAAAATCGGTCAGTTTGAATATTTCATTTCCTTCCAATTTTAACTCTCCTTATTGTCTGCCCGATTTTAATTTCAATATAAAAGATTCTTATATTCGTCGTCCGTGAATCGTAATAAAAAACGCCCCCCCTTTTTTTTTTAAACAGTATGTGTTCGGAGAAATATACGATGTGGACTCCGACATGCTGAAGAGATTGGACCAGCTGGAGGAACATCCACAGTTTTACGAGCGAACGGAAGAAAAGGTTCTGCTGGCGCCGGAGGCCGCGCTCAAGCCCGGAAAAACTTTCGAGGAGGTAATTCAACGGACATACGCGCGCGCATATTGAACGCAACAGGAATATAGTATATAATACTTTTCTAACGAACCGCACTTCCTTTCAGGTCGGCGAGTCGACGAGCGCCTGGATATACTTTCTGCCGAGGTTCAGGTCCTCCCTGCTGGCCAGTGCCATGTACGCGTCTTACACCAACGGAAGCCACGGGCTGAAGTACTGCGAGAAGTATGTCCGCGATCCGTCCTACGATCACAGAAAAGAGGTGCTATAATAAATCATTGCCGGCCCCGGCTTTTGTCTCTTTGCAGCGACGAGGACGCGTCGAGCCTCGACGACGTTCTTTGAATATCCGATCGGGTGCGCAGTCACGGCGCGCGCGGGCGCTCTCTCTCACCCACACGGTACCGTTAATCCCTGTGAATTCGGGGGAAAAATTACGGCGGAAAGCAATGAGTGACTTGTAAAGGCTGTTTTGTACGCACAGCGGCGCGAAGTTTTTAAGAGCTATACTCTTTTAAGGAAGCGGTTCCATCTCTCTTTCGCGCCGGACCCATTAGATAAGAATAATTTATATAAATATAAAAATAGATATATAAAATATTCTATATTTGTGATACAATCGTTCCTCTGTATTAACAACGTATATAATTCATTCCTCCAAATCTTGAAAGAATTAGTGAACATAAAGTAGGATCTTGCGAATGAAGGTGCGTATAAGAAACTACAGCACGAGGGTATCTCGGTGTGATTTGAGTTTTATTAAATACGTCACGTACGCTCGCATCCCACACTTTCGCGCACTCTCACTTCCTGTCATTCTATCGCTCGCTCTCATGTAACAGTAGCGATAAAATTATTGTATCTCAACTATTCTGTAACAAAGGGCAGGCTATATTATATAGTCCGCGTTGCCGCGGCGATCAAAATCAATTCGAAACTGTCTCCAAGAGGCACCGGTGTCGCGCGTTTCCGCCGCGTGCTTAAGTTAGACGTTCTTCTTTCTCTGGGCGCTGCAACGCGTTTCAACAGCTTCCGTAGCCGAACCGTTTCTCTTTCCGATCCGTTCGAATCGCGTTCGTTCGCGGAAAGACGATCGGCCAGGTCGTTCGCGCGCGCACACAGGGTGATCGAGCGTTGCGCTTTGGGAAAATCCGGTCGATCGGCGATATATACGGTGTACGGCAAATTAAAAAAAAAAAAAAATGCTCGGAGGCAGTACGTACGAGTTATCCTAAGAAATTTATTTATAAATAATCACATTTTATCACACGCTATACACAAGAATTCTTATTATTATTATCTACCGTTTCCGTATGACATTTCTCCTCACGTGCGTAAATAACACGCGTCATCCTCCCCCTCGGCGAGGAGGAGGATTCCGCCAACAACGAGAAACCGTCTCCCTCCCCCGAAAGAGAAACGGATTCGATATTTTATTCCCGCCGCACGTCCTTGGGAAAGAAAACATCTTACATCAACAAAAAGAGAATTATACAAATGTCAACAAAAGCGTACAGAGGATTTTTCATTTTCTTTTATATTTAACACGAGTGTATGCGTATGCGTCTTTCTCCCTCCTATTTTGTGCACAACGCCACCGCGGACGCGGCGACGTTGTGTTTCGCACTTTAATTAAACCGTTTTGCCCCTCGTTACTCTCACTCAAAGTTGCGCTCGTGTTTTACCCTCGTCGTTTACCCTTTTACTGTTTCCGCACCACCGTTCCAAAGCCCAACCCCGCGAAATTCACGATTAATAATATACATATATATATCTTAATTTACCTAGAAATTTTCGTTCGTTGACGCACGTTGCCATTTTGAGCGAAGCGACACTCTCCTACGAAAGTAGAGAGAGAGAGAGAGAGAGAAAGAGAGAGAATTCAAGAAGCATCCCGCGATCCTTCGAGACTCGAGTTTATTGAAGGAGCTCTCAGTATCGTACACAGAGCTTGTTCAGATTAAATCGCGTGAATTTCAATCTCGACATTGCCGTGCCGATCTCGAAAGCTTATCGTGTCCGGACGTTAACGTGATCAGTCCTATTTACATCGATAATACTCAATGAGAAGGCATCGATCGTGGCAGTAATTATGCACGCTAAATTAAAAAAGTAGCACCGTATAAAAGAAAGTGCAAATACGTAAAATACCTTAACGAACGATACTCTTTTTTTTTTCTCTTTAGACTACAATCCGCGTAACGATAGCACATACTCGCGAGGAACAACGTCTCGTTCCGGTACGCCGTCTTTTTTTTTTCTTTTCGTTTCCTTTCGAGGATTCGAGCGTCGGAATTTCCGTTCTTCCGTTCGTCCTTCGAACGCCTCTCTTGGAAGCAGCATACTACACGCTATGCTGATTACAAAATGAAATATAAAAATCGACTTCCAACGTTGTCTACACGGTATGAAAATAAGCTTGCGCACACGCGATATTCACTTCGAGTTTTAAGTTTTACAAGGTCCATGAGCGCATGTGTGTGTGCAAAATACCTAGGATCCGTCCCGCGATTTTCATCCTTAGAATAATCGCCGACGAGAGAACCGGAATTAGCATCTCCGGAATTTTACCAAGTCGGAACGTGTGTACGTGCATACACATTCTATAATACACACTGCGTCCTAGTCTAGAAAATAGATTTTCTCGGCGAGGTTGGGCCACGAAGCAGGGAGGGGCGACGATGTGATATTGATTGCATGTAGCTGTTTGATTCCGTCGGGACAGGCGTTTTCAGCTCTGATCTTGCGACAGGGCGCCGTACTTGTTGCCGAGGGAGAGCTTGGGTGTTTGAGCCTGCGACTCGGGCACGTTGTAAGATCTGCTGCCACCCCGGTTGCGAACTTCCTCAAACGCGCCTTCGTCTCGCCGCCTGTCAAAAAAAATCACCCGTTGTGTATTTTGAGCGCAACTGTCATTCAACGCGACATCACATCAACTCTTTATCCACGTGAAACTGAACATTTTCCGAAGCTAACGAAAACCTTATTATTGAGGACTCTGCAGTGATTGCGTCTTACCGTCTGCCCCAAGGAGCGCTGCCATTATTTTGCTGGGGGGGTTTGGAGTTCAGGGTGGGGAAGTATTCCTCGCTATTTATATCGGGCGCGACATTTCTTCCTCGTGGTCGTGGACTAGCGAACGTAGGTTGATTCCGTAAGTGTGGTGCTTTGTAACTACTTCCGGTGGAGGCGGCGGCGGCGGCAGCGGCAGCAACGGTGGCGGTGGCGGCGGTGGCAGCGGCGGTGGCAGGTGGTGCGGCGGGCGGTGTCGGTGCCACTTCCGGCCCTTCTGATGATAGATCCGGTTTCTTCCATGGTCCCGTATACTTTGTGCCAACCTCGACGGTCTCTCCGTCAGAATTGACTTCAAAGGTACCCCTCTCGTCGTTCAATTCTGCATCAACACTATCATTTATCGTTAAATGTCCAATTTTCAAACCACTGTAGTCCTTCTTCTCCTCCTCGAACTCCTTCCACTCGTCCTCGTCCTAAAAAAAAATCAAAATACACTCATGACGTGTTCTCGTCGCGCGCTTCCTAATTTACCTTCACAATTGTCGTTATCGTAATCCGAAAAGTCCTTTAAAAATCATGTGATTCTTGTGACTTGAGATAAATTACTCCGCGGCTCGTAATGCTTTTACAATTAATTCTAATTTGCGAGGGTGACAGTTTGGGGTAACTGTGAGAAAAAGTATCCAACTGTCACGTCGCACACCTACGCGGTTCCCCGTTGTTCACGAAGAATCATCCCATGTTCTCTCTTCAAGGGGAAGGGGAAGGTAGGGAGGGGGGGAGGATTACCCGAAGACACACGTGCACGTGGAACAGCTGCTGCAACGCGCGCTCCGTGGACGATTCCGCGTGCTCCGCGTTGATTACGTAAGGCACATTACGGAAAACGTTCGGGGGGAACGTCGCGCGTCGTCACCGTCGGCTATTCCACGCGACCGTTCCCCCTTCGTGGGAACAAACATGGCAGCGCCGTGGCGCGGACACGAGGTTCCGGAATTACCTGGATGGGAAACGCGTGAAAGGGACTCACCCGCACGTCGCTCGTCCCCCGTGTGGCCCGCCTTACCTCGGTGTGCTGGGACTCCTCGCCCTCGGGATTCGGCGGCTTGTCCTTCGGCTTGGGCTTCTCGACCCGCTTGCCCGTCTCTTCCAGCTTCTTGGCGACCTCGTCGGTCGTGGCGAAACCTTTCTTGCCCTTGGCCTTCTTACGGTCCTTCTTGGCGAAGAAATCGTCCAGATCCGCCATGGCGACGGCGACGGCGAGTCCGGATGGCGCGGCTGGCGGGGAGCGGGACACAACCGGGCGGCAGACGGATCTCTGCGAGAACGTGCGAGGCTAGCGGACACGCCAAGAACACGCTTAATCACGGACTGATCGTGGCATCCGCTGTGGCCGTCCACATGGGCTTGCCTCCGCCGGAAGTCAGCAGCGCTGACGCGCGAGTCAAGCGCGCGCCTGAACGCGCGCGAGGGGACGAGTGTCGCGCGAGCGGGGTGTCGCGCCGGCCCGGGGGAACGCGAGGAAAACTCGTCCCGCGTGGCCGCGGATATTTCGCGCGGGTCACCGCCCGTCCGTCCGCCCGTCTCGGCGAAGCGCGAAATCGCGCGCGGGTCCCTCGGCGAGGCGCGCCGACCTCAGAGCCAAGCAGAAGACCCGTGGGCGCGCGGAGCGCGAGTGCCCCTAACCTCAAAACCACGCGCCTCGCCGCGCGCATCACGGACGACCGGGCGTGCCGCTCGGCACGCTCGCGAGCCCGGCGCGAGGAGCGCGTTCGCGCCGATCCGTCGACGACGCGGATTTCCGCCGGTCGCGCGCGTTCGACGATGAAAGATGCCCCGCGCGAGGCGTGCGAGAGCGTAAAGGTTAATCGTTTCCCCCGTGTCGTTGCGGGAGGGGCAGGGGGGGAGTGACAAATGGCGCCGCAATTACTTCCGGGATACGAATGGTCGAATGAAGTAGAACGCGCACGCGAGCAGTGATACTCTTTCCTCGGCCAACATATAACACAAAAGAACTGTACTTACTTGTTATTTATACGCTTGGGAGATATATTTACATGTCTGATATTCGTATGCTTTTTGCATTGAAAATATCTTTCGTGTGCCGGACTCCCGGAGTAACGCTATAATTTCTCCTTCCTTCGCGATTCTTGGCAGAGAAGATTCGCAAGAGGTTATAGACAGATATGACGGTACCTTCGAACGCGTCGAAAGTTGAAAATTTAAAAAATTTACAGACGCCCGAAAGCCTCGAATCGCCTCGAGCGCGAATTACGGACGCGCGTCAACGCGGATTTTCTTACGTCGTTATACCTACTATAAGCGGCGGATCGGTGATCGCGCTTAAAATTAAATGTACGCGCACGACGAATTAAACGCACGCGGCTCCGCCGCGTCACATCGCTCTCTTCCCCACCCCCTCCTGATGCCGCGCCGCTGCCACGCCGAGTGATTCGCGATGCGCTGGGCGCGCATGCGCGGCCCGGCGCGAGTCCCGCATATACCGCACCGCACACTCCGCGGAGTAGCCAGCGTACTCCAGTACTCGTCGACGCGAACTCCCTGCGCGGCCTGTGCCACCGACCGTTCGGCGGTGTCCGGTCTCTCGCGCGTCTCTTGCACTTCGCGTCGCCAACGACCACCGGGGGAAGAAACGCCGAGCCTCCTCCGTTCGAGGATCCTCCGCCGGTCCGCGGCAACGAGAGCGATCAAGTTCGCGGTGCGGGTCCCCGAAGTTTCCCTTCCCCCCGTGCGCTTCACCCAGCAACGCGCGGCGGAGAACGAGACCACGAACGCTCCGGGGGTTTTTTTTAATGTGTAACGTCAACGAGACGCCGCGAGATGAAGCTCACACGGAACTGCCTGGGCAACATCGGCAAGATGTTGGACTTTTACTCACAATTCAACCCCTCGCCGCTCTCGATAAAACAGTTCATCGATTTCGGTGAGTCCTCCTCGCCCTACCCTCGCCCGATCACACTTCGGCCTCCACGACGAGGCGTGAAAGCGCAGCTTCGGCCTGTCCGGCGGCGCGTCGCTTCGCGTTACGTAGCGTAAGCGTGTATAGCATGTATTTTACATCACGTTACGATCCGGTCGCTGCCACCGCTCATTATGTCGATTAAGTGCGATTGACGGGCGAGATGCTTGAATTCCGGTCGACGCGACGCGCGGACGTAACTTTTGGCAACGACGCTCCGCATGATACGCCGGCACTTGGCAAAAATTTTCCACGTACAAAAACACATAAATATACATATAATTATATGTAAAATATATGCGTTTCCTATTTTTTTGTAATAAATAACGTATAGTTCTGTTCGTACATACTACAAAAATAATAAGAAGAAGAAATAGAAAGCACTTATGTAATTTTTGCATTGTTTTTCTCTTTTTTTATAATAAGTAAAGTTTGAAATGAGAATAAATTGCCCATATAGTTTGTACCTATAGAAAAACTATATCTGATTATATACATGAATTTTGTACAATATAATCTCAAGTTTTCTTTTTGTAAGGAAAAACATGCAAACATTTTTTTAAACATTTTTCAATTAATCTTTTTATTACTTTTGCTAAAATATAGATAGAAATATACAACAGAAAAAAAATGTATATAGATATATCATTATAAAAATATATGTAATGATATAGATATATATATATATAAATATAATTATTTATATATTTATGTGTGTGAAAAATTTTTTTTACCAAATAACTTATTCTCTTTAGTGATGATACGAAAACAAAATATTCAATCGAAATATATCTCAGATTTCTATATATCTCGCCGGAAATCTTGGGATATACACTTCTTATACATAGTTTCACATATATTAGCGTTATACGTTTCTTATGTTTGTAATTCGTAAATATAGGAGAGAAAGTTAACACGTACTATAATTTTTTACTATACTTTTCGTGGACGAATTATGACTTGATAGCTTTTTTCGCCGATGTTGCGAGCTATAATCTTGCACAATGCTAAATTGCGTAATAAAAATAAATCAATGATGCGTTTATTTAATTTATTCGATTCTAAAATATCGAAATAAATACACAACTTTCAATAGATGTTTGTAAAAAATTTAGCGATTGTTATTCGTGAGTATGAATTAGAAGATTAAAACATAATTGAAACATTTAAGCTTTCTATTTTTTTTTCTTTTCTCTAGGATGAATATTCGATTCATTACACTCAAAATACAAACGATTTTTCAGAATTTATTCCTGTATATAAATACTAAATCATCATTCTTGAATGTAATATCCAATGCTTAATCTGATAAGCAAAAATATTTATTTCTAAAAAACAAAAACAAAGTATCTTGATTCTTAATGATTAAATATATTATCTGTTCGCTAATGACATCCAGTTTCGACCTTTTCGTCACGCTTGGAGACCTTGATGCCCCACGTGAACGTCTGGCGTTGTGCGGTAGTCCGTCACTGAATTTACGCGTTAAATAATAGCGAGGTTATTATGCGACTCCGCTTCGCGTAGCATACACGCATGGCACACGTGCGGATTCGATGAGAAATTCATAATATATATTCTAGACACACCTAGGTTCTTATATATGATATGTTCTTATTCTCCTCGGATTTCGCAGCGGAAATTAATACCTGATTTTTCTTCATTTCTTTTTAAGTACAAGGAGACCGCGCGATGCTCCGTGTTGTTCTCGTCGATGAGGAATGATATTCATAATATTCTAGACACACCTAGGTTCTTGTGATATGTTCTTATTTCTCGGATTTCGCAGCGGAAATTAATATCTGATGTATCTTCATTTCTTTTTAAATACAAAGAAACCGCGCGCGACGTTCCGTGTTGCACTTGTCGATAAGGAATGATAACAGATACATACGCTCATGATGCAATTCGCTCCAGATGTAAACAAACCCGATCGTGTTCCTTTCTACTTTCTACCACATCAGCAAAACATTCGGCGATATTTATGCATTTGTGATCATGAAATATTCACGTGATCAAAGATATATTATTATATCAAAAGATTGCGATAGTTTTTTTTCAACTAAATTAAACGGACTAAAATTAATTTACGTTAAAAAAAGTTAGTCACGTAAATATATAACAAATTTAAGTTAAGAGTTAAATTAAAATTAAATTAAATTAAAAGCTAATTCTGGAAAGTATTATTTAATTAAATTAAAATAATTTATAATTATTATAATTTTTATACATATTTTACTTTGACTAATTAACAATAATTGCAACATGTAACATACGTTACCAAAACACAAAAGTATAAAAAAGGATTGACTCTGTTTTCTATATCTGAACTGAACTAGTGTGTACTGTATGTACATTCTATGCACTTAAAGTGAAATGTTTGATATTTGGCAAAAAGCGAGAAAGAAAGTTCTAGTGCAATTCAAGAATGAAAAACAGACCTGTCAATAACTGTCTGAGAAAGAGAAAGGCCTAGTTTCAGGTTGCGACAGCATCCATCAGGAGCGTTCTGTTACATATATCTCTCTCGTATTGTCGCCTATGATATGGATATATTATAAATTGTTTCTTTCAAAATATAATAAAGTCACGTTATAATGACAGTCACGATGAATACGAAAGCTGATTGTCTTTCAATAATGTTCAAGATTTTATAGAAGAAAAGAATATCAGCACTTTTAGAGAGACGAAAGAAATTTTAATTTAGAAAAAAGTTAAAAAAGCAAATATATCAATTTGAACTAGTTGAAATTAAAAGTTAACTTATTTTTAAAATATTTATTTTTAAAACCAAATTACAAGTTATTAACTTTTATCTTTATACTTGATTTCTAACTTTTTAACTAATTATTATCCAATTCTGATTATTACGGGAAAATAAGTGTAAGAGTTTTTATCATAGGAGTAAGATACGAATAAAGTTAATGAATAAAATCAGGTGTAACAATGAACACTTAAAATAACCTGATTTAAAGACCGCAAATATTTTTCTTATAAAGGGACGGAAGAATATTTACAGAAATATGATTCGAGGAAATGATTCATTGACGATTAGATAAGAGTGGCAATGAAAAAGAAAAGCGTTGTTTTGGAATCACGAGAAAGTGAGGTGGATGACTGAGGTCGTTTACCTGCGACTTCCCGTTTCCAATGCACAATTTGCGTTGCATGTTTTGTCTAGCGATCATTCAAAATGTCGTCCCAGACGTCACGAGTAAACGTCACAGACAAGTTTAAAGAAAATCCTGTGCTTCAATAGAGTCCATTGTAACATACTTTATAAAAATGCACATCATCACTGTCACGGTCTATTGATCTCTGACGTTTTCCATTGATTAATATATAGCGATGAGAAGATGATTTATTAATATACTCCAACTGGAAATATGCGATTTGAATATTTACACCAAAAGAGATCTAATATTATAGAGGCCATGATCCCGCAAGGTGGTATGAAGCTTCGAGAAGACGTCTTTTGAGGATGTTTATCGCGATTGTATCAAATGCTCCTCGCAATCTCGATCGGCCAAATGCAGGATGCGTCACATCCTGCATTTACGATTTCCGTCTTCCTCGTTTCCACGAAGAGTGTGCACCAATTTGGATCTACACCAGAAGGTTCATTTAATTTTAACGCGAACACGAAAACGGACGTGAATCGAGATTTTATCGGAGGGATTAAATGTGCATCCGTGTAACTCCCGGCATTGAAGAAACATATTTAGATGGGATTCACACGTCCACAGGGCGTCCTTCGTCTCGTACTGGGTCAGGGTCGCAGGCGTGTCGTGCATTTGATGGAGAAAGCCGCAACCGTCGGTTTCGGTCACTGCCGTGTCGGGCGAACGTTAAGGTCCCTCGCGGAGAGACTGAAAAGAGCGAAAATAGAATAACTATGTATTAAGCGCAGTATTATCCCGCTTTGGAGTGATGCCCGCGACTTGGCATGGACGGGAACGATACAAGGGACAGGAGTGGAGATACATACGTCTGGTGGAATTTGTACCCCCCAAAACGCAAAGGCGGCGGTGTCGCCTTTAAGATTACGCACGCCCACGTGTGTGCGCGGCTGACGCGCATCCCGCGTTTCGCTGAAAATACACGCACGTCCGCAAGATACCGCGAAATCGATACATTTTCAAAGGCAGTGTATCGTGAAAATAGAAAAATCTAGATCCCGGTGTGTCTATTTCTTTTTGTGATGCTCTGCAAATCGCTCGAGGTTAAATTATTATTAAATTAAATTATATGTAATATGTATGATTGAATTTGAAAATTTTAACTGTTGAAAATATACTTTGCTAAAATAAATTTAGAATTTAAGAATTATAAATTATAAATATTAAAAATTTAACCTATATTTTGTTTATGCATGTAATTTAAAAATTATAATTTGCCATATGTACAAGAATGGAAGGTAATCGCAGTTTATTAATTCCGTTCTCGTTTTATTCGAAGCGATACGTACCTCGTATCGCTAACATATATTCCCGTTTTACATATTTGCGTTCTATTTATGTATCGCGTATTGAACTTTTATTAGAGATTTTTGTCACGTGGCGAAGGGCAGAGATCATCAATATTGTATTACACAGCACGCGTTATCTCCATAAAATAGTTCGAACGACCGTGACTTTTCCATCGTTATGCATTCACGAGGTATGACAAGACGGATTAAAACGTATGGCGTGGTACATTTGACGTCAGTTTCAAAGACGCGATTAAGATTGTCGGATGAATGTAGCGCTGATTAAAATTAGTGGCTACTCTGTAGTCGCGATATCGAATGAATGTCACTCGCAAACGAATATTTTGCACGCAATTGATCTTGCGCGTGTGATATCTTTCATATTATTTTTAAATTGATCCAATTTTATGTTTCTATGAAATGTATTTTTTTTTAAATATTATCTGGCTCTATATGATCACAAGATTAAAGAGAAGGATATTTATTATTTGCAACACGAGAGATCGCTGAAAATTTCAATGGTAGCTGTGATAAAATCAAGGTCAAAGCAGTAAACAGAACCAACAAGCCTTTAATCTGACATTTGTTTTCGGAGTCGAAAGGAAACGACGATGATAAATAAAATGTTAATATTGTCAGTATGTCAATAACGTTATAATACAGCATGCCATTTTAATACATTTAGTATTATAAAAAAACAGAAATTAATTATATATTATAATTGCTAATGGAACGATTATACATGATAATTGTTACTCCTACTTTATCGAAGAAAAATGTACTGTTTTGATTTTATAGACTATCAAAACTGTACTACGAAGATTAGATATATACCTATAGACAATTTTTATCACGAAATTTGATCTTGAATCATTTAACACTGATAGTTATACCGCAAAGCTCTATTACCATTTCATTAACAATTACGTAAGCTTCAAAAAAGCCTACAGTGTATAAGATCAACCGAAGCTAAAGCTAACTTTGTAAGCTAAAGTCGGAAAGAATGCAAAAAGATTTTATAAGAAAAATATAGCGAGCTATACCTATATCCTCTCAACGCGGACCCATCAGTGAGGAAACGTTCCAAAACCGGTTGATGTCGAAATTACAGTTTACTTTTCAGAACGATTCTTCTTTTTCGCGGAGCACTAGTCGCAAAACGAGATATTCCTAATCGCCTTTACAGAGAAATAAGACGTTAATCGAGCTCGATAGTGTAAACAGCCGTTATCCTCATCCCGTTTTTATTTTCTTCGAGGAGAGAGAAGGTGATGCAGCGCGTGTGCGTAATTCCGCAAATCGAAGATTCGTCAACGCCGCGACGAGCGGCAGGCATAGGTTGAGAGACACTCGCGCCTCTCCCTCCCACAACGGAAAGAGAGAGAGATCAGCGAGATGACGCGTGGGAAACAGCTGTTCAATTTTATACCCATCTGACTTTGATGCACACACCGCGCCAATCGCGGCGCATTGGCGATCCACTCGAAACCGGAGCGCTTATCATGTACCACTCGTAGTACCCGTGTTATCTTTCTATACCTCATGCTCCGGCATTTATGAGTAAACGAGTTTGAGATAGCTCCTTGATAGTCGATATCTGCGGACCGAACTACGGAGATTATCCGCGGACTGTATGCAAACTGTCTATTTAAATCTGACAGACCACGTGGCAGCGACGTGGTCCAGCATTCGAGGCAGCTTTCGAGGCCTGACGCGAAATTTCTTAGCGATTCTTATTTCCACGGATCGCCTTGCACACTGTCTACGCGAGGATACTTTGTATGAATACAGTGTAGTTTTTTTTTTTTTGCACCGAGAGAATCCAATTATGCTACCCCTTATTCGTCGGTACCAGTCCGGTTTCTCGGCTTCGTAGAAACGCTCTTGGAGCAACCGTTCCGGTTTTACCTCGAACACGCGAACGCGCGACCTGCCTTCGCCAGGTGCTTGATCGTACGTAGAGGCTATTATTTCTCGTTGTGCGACAATGTCAATCGTTTTAAAAATGCAAATAAAACATTTCGCAATTCGGGGAGAGGCCGTCGATCTCTTTACTCTACGCATTCCGTTATCGGGCAATTATCAAATGGAGTTTTATTCGCTTTGTTCGAGTTTTCGCAAGAAGCGAGATAATAATAAAGAAATGTTTTTCGCGAAGGTCGTAAAAACGGCAGAAATTTCGTCACCTCACGAAGTGCCACTCGTTTTGTTTGTATAAGAAAGGAATCGTTTATGTGGTACAACGTGATGTACAGTCGTGGACACATCGGTTGCGACACTTTTTTTTATAGGTTTCTAATATACATTTAATATATACATAATATATATTTTATAGATAACTAATATTTTGCAAATGCGAACCACGATGTACTATCTTTATCTGTCTAGAGACAGTATAATATCAATTGTGGTCCGCATTTGCAAAATATTAGTGCGTTTTGAAACCTCTAAAAAAGAAAGTATCACAACCGATGTGTCCATATGACTGTATACGTTCCTGACCGCGGAAGTGATAAACCGACGCATGAGAAGTCCTTTGTGCAGCGCATTATGCAATTACGCAGAATTCACACGCGCACGCGATGATATCATCGACAAATTACATAATCCACAATGCGGAGTATTTACTTGTGCCCATCTTTTTTCAAAAAATAGACAATTCCGAATTAATAAGTCATTACTGCAAAATATGTGCGGAATTAATGACAATCACTTCTATTTTTCACGAACTTGTATAATTAGCGTTATCGGATACAAAATTGGTTATTCAAAGTATTCTAAAATCGTAGTTTAATGTGCTTTCCTTGTTCGCGCAGAGGCCGGTAAATACATACAGTATATCTTTATACAATAGTTGAGTAATATACGTGAATTTGGCTGTACATACCGAGACACCCAGAATATAATAATCAAATATTTAGACACGAGACTATCTGATCTATATTTATAGCGCTAATTATAGTGCTCATTTCTTCGTGGAGTTCTTCAAAAGTCTTCCGAAGTTTTTCTGGAGATTTTACGGAAGGAGGAAAGAGGAGGACGCGTTATAAATCAACTCTTTATCCCAACCTGCTTCGTTATCTGTTATTTCAAATGTAAATAATGATGACAGTTACATCGCGAAATAGATTGGTTTTGCGGAGTACGGTTCACGTGATCGTCATGTTTTCAGTTTCTTATTGAACTAGAGGCAAAATATACAGCTCGCAAAAATGTAAATGGAATTAAATAAAGCAAGATTATTAATTAAATTATAAATTAAATATTTCAATAAAATTTGTTTAATCTGGAAATATTATATCAGAATGAAAGATGACTGTAATTGTCACGATCAAGTAAATTCGAATTTAGATCTGAAATCTCGTTACACTTGTTATCCTAGTTCAAGGGTTACATCATATAGCCCTGGCCTTCGCGGCACATTTCTCTATATGTATGTTGCTACAATCACACTCTTAATCGTTTCGTGTACTGACCGTATCGAAAATCGTTGATAGGAACGATTGATAAGTATTTCATGAAAAAGTTTGTCTTGAAAAAACATCGCTATCTTTAACTTCGCTGAATTATACACGGACGATGAATTGCACATATCAATTAATATTTCTTGTGTTTGTGTTCGATTTTCACCTCAAACGCGTACTATCGTAATAACACAATAAGATAACAGGACGATTATCCTTTCGAGGCCAACTCAATTTTTGTATTCTTATCATGATGACTTAGAAATAATTATAGTTATTACGATTAAAAAAAGATGCACAACCGACTAAAAAATTGTAACATTTTACGCGCTTAACCTGAGATGTTTTTGTATTGTCACGTTTCATTAATTATTTTATCTTTTTTTTCTTAGTTTGTGCTTAAATATATTGATGCTCAATTTAAATGATAATGAATAAACAAATATATTCTGAAAAATAATAAATTACTAGCCTCTGCAACTGTAGTGCAATTTCATACAATTTCGCGCAAACAACATCGTAAATACAAACCCACATTGATACGGAGTCTTTGATAATAAAATAAATACAATGATAAACGTGCTTATCATTGGAAGGTTGTGGCAGTAGCAGTATACACCGTCAGTTCTAATTTCGCATGTCACACTGTGGTCTGAACACTAATACGATAACATGAAAATGAAGCAAAACATATTCTCGCTGCTATCTATTAATTGGCACGAAGAATTGATTAAACTTATGCCAACGTGGTCTCGGTAATACACTGTATCTCACAGACGTATAAATTGTTCAACATTGTAAAAAGTAATCTGTCACAATTTGTCGTCTTATGTCATTGAATGTAATTTATTCGGAATCTACTTATATTATTCCGAACATCTCTCGAGCGAAACGCCGCGAGCATTAACGTTTCTTAGCTCAAGACATTTTTATGGAATATATTTTTTTCTTATTTTTAGATTTTACGGTTGTCAAAGATAAGATTATTCCAGAAAAAGTGATTTATTGTTCAACTTTATGAATGTTTAAAGCGAGAGATAGTTGCCGAATCGCAGATAAATTCGTTTTAACTACACTTTTTCTGGATATAAGATAAAAATAGAATGTGATAAAGTATTCAGAACTTGGAAAGAAAAGGAGAAAATAGAATGTAATAAGTAGTATAACTGAGTGAATAAATTTAAAATTTTGTCTGTAATTTTTACGAATTACTTGACGCGCATTTTGCGCTACAACAAAAAAAAACCGGTTGACGTAGATTTGGCAGACTGAGTATCGCCGATTAGAAGCGTCGTGAGCATTAGGAGCAAAGTCCAAAGGCCAGAAAGGCTCGTTCGTCTCAGGTTGCCGTCACACGGCCGGTAAACAATGATTTCGCTTGACGTCATTTCCCCTATCCGCGAGAAGATTTCGAGGCGACGCTTCTTTTTTCTCTTCTATTGATTTCACGACTGCGAGCGAACGCTGAGAAAAAATTCCATGATGCTAATTTTTTTATCGCATTTCGGCGACCCAGCGCTATCGGAGTCATCGAGGAGGTCGAGCGCAAATAACATTCTTGGATCTCATTTTCTTCAGCCCTTATCTGTTTTTTTTCTTTTTATTAGGGCGGAATCTCTATAGATAACAAAATATATGCGCATTCTTTTTTTCACTGAAACTACATTGCAAACAACACTTGCAATTGTTTGTCCGTCTTAATTTATTCGTTACGTCGCAAAAGAAGTCTTTTGTCAGCTCAAAACAAACGCTAATGAATAAATAATGTATTGTAATGCGGATATACAGTACCTATTTAATGATCGCTATCAGCATTCAAACAAAACGATTCGTTTGGCTACGCCAACGGTGATTCAGAATAAAGCGATGAGATATTTATTTCGCACTTCGTAAATGGATTATCCTACGACGCAGCGATTAAGAATGCACACGTCAGGGTTGACAATATTATTTTGACACAATGAGATCACGACGTCAACGAATTCACACCCGTGTGTGTTTATCTGCGTGAGATAAAATGCGCCCAAATTATGTTAATTTCCGAGAGTAACGTCCCTTGCGCGTTATTTCCAGCGTGTCTAACAATGTCCGTTGAATTCTCCGTAGCTTTAAAAATACTAATTTACAAGAAAAATTTATTGTTTTGACATTTTAACATCCAAAAGTTTATGAAAAATACTTTGTCTAGTTCAAAATAATTATTGACTGTGAACTAGTGTAATTTTCCGAAGTCCAGTCCAATTATTTGTTGATCGCTCCTGGTTATTTCAAAAGTTGAATATATTACTTATTTGTATTATCAATCGAAGAACCAATATAAATATAAAAAATAGGTAGTATTAAATATATACATATACCTATACAGAATGAATCATCTAAAACAGACCATCTGAATAACTCGCTTGCTTTTAACAGTAGAAAGAAAAGTGTTAAACAAAAGTTGCTTGGTTTCGAGGGGCACATAATGTGATATCAATAATTTTTTTATATGTGGAGGCGTAGATGAATAATAAAGGTCAAACCTGTTTTTTAAATTCTGATAGAGCGTTTCAAGACGAATAAAAAACCTATAAAGTTCCTGTAACCTGTAAAGGTCATTCAAAGTTACATCAGATCAACTGTAATGGAAAATAAAATTGTTTCCCTCCATCTATAAAAAAATTATTGATATCGCATTATGTGCCCCTCGAAATCAAGTAACTTTTGTTTAACACTTTTCTTTCTATTGTTAAAAGCAAGCGAGTTATTCAGATGACCTGTTTTAGATGCCTCACCCTGTATATAGAACAAAACTCTCTAATATACTATTTAATATATAATTTAATATATAACTATTTAATTTTAAAGCGATTAGGGCCATACTGAGATGTATTTTAGAATTCATAAAAATATTCACGGAATATTCATGCATTCTATAATGAAATGTAAATCTGTATAACTACTTTATACATTTGTAAAATATTTATTAAATTTATTATTTATTAAAACACTGAGGTAAAGTTTATAACATCGTTTTGAAATAGGAAAAGATGATAGCTATCATTCGATCTATCGTTCGCAATCGAACTCGGAGATTTAAAAATAATTAGATTGCACGATATTGGGAAGATGCAATCAACGCTCGACAATGTCCAATGAATGCGAATGTCAGAACCGGTGCCCACGATGAGCAGTGAACAGATGCCATAGAATTTTCCGCTTATCCATTTTCGCTTTGTCAAATGGAATTTTATAGAAGAGCAACGAGACGGCCGATCTGCGTCTGGCAGATAACGGCGCGTTCAATTTCCTGGCAATTTCTCGGCTGGTCGCTTCTAAAATCAAATCGTTCGTATAGCCAGTCGGTTTTCTTCGGAAAATTTATGAAGATCTAATCTTGTTCCACACCACACGCACTATTCGCACCACTTTCAACAGCGCGAAGTTTTCGCAAAGAATTGCGCAATTCTTTTAAACGCGCAGCGATTTTATAGAATGCATCATCACTTTATAACACATATTTTTGTCGATTTAGTGACCTTTAATTGAAATTAACTGTAATACAAAAATAGTTTCCGTATTAATTCGAGCTGATTATATGATAGGAATAAGCGGTTCCGCTATTGAGGTGATGACGCAACCTACATCTTCATTAAGGCTGATTAAAATCGCAAAGACTCGTACAGTTATCGTCGTTGTCTCTTCGATAATTTCCAACCTTTCCATTGATTACACTTCACGTGATAAACAATCGTTATCGGTCGTCCTCAAGGAGAGAATTGGTGAATGTACTAATCTCTGTTGAGCATAAAATTTCTAAAAAAATTGCAAGGAACTTTTCATGCAATAAATAACAGTAACAATAATATTCTATTATTAACATCTATTATAATATAAATTTAATATACTATTTTAATAAGCATCTTTCATGTATAAATATGTATAAATTTTTAATAAGCATCTTATAAATCTAGAAGAGATTTACTGAAAAATATCTATAAATGCGACATTATAAATATGATCTATAAATATGAAATGTATCTATTAAATATGACGCTAACTTGCATCTTATATAAAACCTACCAGGAAATATATTGCGAAAAAATATCAAAGACTTCATAAGATGGAAGTTAGCATCTTAATCTAATAGATGTTTTTCAGTAACAAAACTCTTGTAGGTTTACATATAAAATATAGTAGTATCATTTATATTAAATGCTTATTAATATATTAAATTGATTATCAATTTCGTAATAATATAATTATTATTTTAAGATAAATATTATGTTATAGGCATAATATCCGCCAATGATTATTCTGTCTTTATTTATCTTGTGTAATTCATCAGTGTAGACTTATTGTAACAAATATTAACTTTCAAGTATCAGAAATAATACTCTTAATAAATAAATTGCCGGACTTCATTTTATGATATGTAAAAAAGATCAGTATAAGAAACTGTGTTTCACGTAACTTTTTTCCGTGCACGTTTCTCGTCAGAACGATTCGTTATAATTCCGAGCTTAAGTTCCGAAGAAGCAAGGTGCGAAAAATCTATTTGACGATCGATAAAAACAGATGTTTTATTGATGATTGTGCAATAACGTTCGCATATTTCACGATTTGGATTTCCGACACTTGTCACAACGTTCCCACATTGCGGTTGGTATTGCCTTGATGGCCAAAGTCGTAATTTTTCAGACTTACGGTCTCAAGTAACAATCATCTCGCGTTGCATGCTTACCAGGTCGAGGTTTATTTTCAGAGCACGTCATATACTATACGCAACCCGGGGACATGTTTCAAGTATGTCTACATAAATAATTGAATTTTCACTTCAACGAGGAAAGATAACGAATCGATTTATCGATGTTCACCCGAGCGTGCCGATACCAAATATTTCATGGACGATCGACCGATGCCTCCGTAACGACCTCCTGCAACAGTTACCTTTCGCGTGTTTAAAAATGTAAACACAATTTGTTTCGTTTTAGGATAATACGCGTAACAAAGTCTAAGAAATGTGTATAAATTTTTAACGAAGAAGCCATACCCAAGGGAGAAACTTTATTTCAATGAAACTTTTTTTCTTCAACTGAAAAGTAGAAGAGAAAAAGTTTCATTGAAATAGAGAATTTTGCTAATTGTTCTAATAGCACGTGAATTGAGCAGCACTGATATTTAGCGAAGGTATGTTAGAAGAGCACACTTGAAGCGGCTATAGTTTGTAGGTATTTGTTAATAGTAATAGCGACATATTAAGTAGGTCAATGTATGATCGCTGAAAGTTATTCGGTTTGTATTGATTTTTCGATATTTTCTATAGACGACGAGTTAATACGTAATGGCTTTTATATGAAACTTCGTTTTTACATGGTTCCTTACGTACGTTTTCTATATAGAATGCCAATCGTTGCGCATACAAGACAACGTATAATAAAATTTTTAACACAATGTTAACTTGATCATTATTACTATGAAATATTAAACTTCCTGAATATTTTATGCCGGAATTTGTTTATATATATATATATATATATATATATATATATATATATATATATATA